TAGTCTAGTGCTTCGGGGGCCTGCATTTCTGGAAGCAAAGGTTGGCACAGCGTGCAAATTTGTGAAGCTTCCAAGCTCGCTTAGGCTGCAAAGTGGCCCGCAATTGGCAGTATAACAGGCGGGCTGAATCCATTTGTGCGGAGCTTTGAACATTAGAAGTTTGGTTTCTTCCCAAATGCCTAATGCTCATTAATTGAATTGGCCAAATGTATTACGAATGCAGGAGCCCTTCTGAAAGAGATTCTCAAAGTTCAGTGAGGTTTTCCTCTTTATACATAGGGAGTAACTGCTATTACTCAATAAGAGCCCATTAACATATCCTCTATAAGGCGCACATTGGAGTTAAATATTCAAGTTAAACCTTAACACTTGTCTTTCTTTAAATGCTTTCAAAATAGAAAACTCCATGCGATTGAGTTAATTATTTTGCAATTACTTAAACCGAGTACAATTGAATCGTTATAATGATCAGTCTTTTTTATATTGCGTCACTCATGCAAACTGCATCTGACAACGCTGTATCATCAGCAACAAATGGAGGGCGCATATGAAGATGTTTTTTGACGATGAATTATTGTTTATTATATGTGTGGGAGGAAACCAAAGCACCCAGAGAAAACCCACAAGTGTGAAGGGGCAACACTCTATCCCTCTACTGATGGAACAGTTGGAGGTTTGTCCACACATTGCTGCTACTGCCATCGGCCAGAAAATCAAGGTATGGCACCGTGACACCCACCCACTGGAAGAACGGGAGATTCACAAAATCCCTGCGGTGATCCACCGACCCTCACTGTGGCCTTCAAAGCGCTGGATCATTACAGGCAGCCGCGTGCAGCAGCGTGGCCGCCACCGCCCCCCGCGACTCTTACAATGAGTTGGAGTTTCTTCTGTTCCGCCCTAAGTGTGCACGACTCGCACTTGGAATTTCCAGCTCACGAGCTATCTGGAAACGTGCTCTGCTGGAGACATCCTGGGAAACACTCGAGCTACGAAGCGTCAAACAATGCCGACGTGTAAAAAAACGAAATCTAGGCGACGTGGTGGTTAATTTGGTTGCTAAATGCAGGAAGTCCCCACTGTGATATTCATTGCACTCTATGGAATCACGTGACGTCACTTGTTCCCTGTTCCATAAAAAAATCACGTCCCTCTTTTATCCAGCTGAAGCAGAATATCCCAGAATCACATGACACGTAGAGGACTGTACGGGAAATGATGCTAAGCACGGTGAAACCAGCAGGTTCCTTGGACTTTTGAGTAAAGTGTCAATGCAAGGTGACGTTGTTGCTCCTTTATCCCATCAAAGCAGTCTTATTTTAGCTGTGCAAAAATGTCATTTTGTACATTTGTTGAACTCTTTCGCACGGTACGTAGCCAACCGGCCATAGGAAGAGTTTCAACATGCACCACTGTGAACGTTGAAGGACATCCATTGCGGACAGCGGAATCAAACGTCATCGATACGCCGCTGCCGGTGCCGCATGTGAAAACAACCATCAGCTGTGGTGATTAAACAACACCGAGGATACTGATGATGACAACAGTATAGAACTGAGTTCCGTGAACGTGTCAGCCGCCTGACAAAATACAGGTCGGGGAGGGGGGGGGCAACGCGTGCCTCGGCCTACCACAGAGGGCACGAATACAGCTGCTTCTGTCTCACACTGATGAGGACGGCACTCTGGGAGGTGGCCCACCACCCTGGGCTGTAATTACTGCTCACACCACGTGCCAAAAAGCAATCAAAAAAATATGTACGTGTGTGCGTAAGTGCAATTAAATAAATATATGGCAATGCCGGCAGGCTGGGAGGTGAACACGTGGAGAGATGGGGGGGGGCGGGATGAAACTGGACCACCAAACAGAATACCATTCCACTGACCTGGCAGCTATAATGGCTAATAAAGTAATGCAGCAATAACAAATGCATGTAAAGTGAGCGCTCTGGTTGAGGGCTGGCACGGCGTAGCGGCCAAGTTGAAAGCCATCTTCGGCGACGGTGCCAAAGCCACTCGGCGCGCATCTCCCCTTGTTGGCGGCTGGAAAGCAACGCCTTGGCATGGTTAGCGACGTGGGTCTGCACAACCTGCAGCGCAGCCGGGCTCAAGCTGCGGACGGGCAAGCCCAAGCAAAACTAAGAAACGTGCAGTGGCTTTACGTGCATGCGGCGTTGTAACGCGTAATAACAACGGTTGTAAACATCGACGTCGCTTACCCTGTGCGGTAGAGCGTCGCCGAGTTTCGAGATGCTTTTTCTCGGGAGGATGCTGATCCACTGGGACGTTTGGCCAATTTGTTTTTCAGAAATGATCTTTGAGGCGGTGACACGGCCCAGCGGTGGCGAGCTCACCGCGCTCTGCAGGGAGGTTCACGGCTACAATCCAGCAGCCACCCCGATTCATGCCGCAGTTGCATTCACTCGAAAAAATACGTGCCGCCCGTTTCACAGCGGACGCGGAATGTCCCGTGATGCCATTCCCACAGACCCAGTGTTTGTGTGTGTGCCGTGGTCCAAGTTCGGCAAACTTTAAAACTCACGACGCAAATTACTCGATTCAAATATACAAAAGCTCAATGGGGCTTTCCTGGCTAAACAAGCGATTGACACGGTTGGCTACGTATGGTGTAAAAGAAGTTCCACGTCCATACGTACGATAATATTAATACGAATTCCAGTGAAGAAAAAAAACTGCTCACAGCCACAAACATTGGCAAGCAGGTATGAACTTGGCAAAGGCCGACAGCGTTGATACTCGTCTGCTTTACTATCCCTGTCTGCCTTCAGAGACGCATGCTTGAGTAGAGTGCTCTAGCAATCTGACAACTCACGTCAGTGACTTCGCTTGGCTTCGTATACAAGTTCACCCTTGTGCATGCAATGTTATCGTCACTTGCTACTGCTGGCACAGAGAATGTGTTTTTTTTACACAATCGTGTTAACACAAGTGACTTTTGCTGGATAAGCGGGCAATTACAGCGCTCGGCTTTAGGTAAAACAAGTGCATTGAAGCTTCGCGTTAAGCAGACGTGATCCTGCATTGGGGAAACGAGAGCTATTTGGGGCATGTTGACGTTAGCCAATAAAAAACGTCCCTAATGGTCACTCCTTGGAAACTGTTCTGTCACTGGAATGCACGTTTTAAATAAAACCATTTTACCATGAAGAAAAATCCGAAAAATGTGAATCCGTTAAGAGAAAACCAGAAATTAGTTAACCTGCTGCTAGTTTTACATTGCCGTGACAAATGTTTTTTTTCCCGATAGCTGACAAGATACGACGCACAGCCCAGCTGTGTTTAAGCCCATTGGCAGCTGTCCACAGGATGCCAGGTTATCTGATAACAGGTCGGGGTGACCCAGTGGAAACACTTGAGCCTCCCCGCAAGAATAACCTGGGCTCGATTCCCAACTCAGGCACGTTTCTCTGTGGCAATTGTATGTTCTCCCTCTATTCTGCAAGGTGGTTTCCTCCGGGTTCTCCGTTTCCTCTCATATAAAAAACACACAAAAGCCACACAGTGTAGCTAGCAATAGACACAACATCCCAATGCTGAATAAATGACCAAAAAATGTCTCAATTGGGATTCCACACAGCAACATCGCCCCCAAACTGTGAAAACTTGACAGGAAACTCTAGGGGGGGGAGGGGAGGGGGAAGCCTCGAGACTCAAGTGAGGCTTTCCTGGGTAAGCAAAGCATTCAATAAGCGTGTGTGTGTGCAGGAGGTCAAGTAAAAGGGTGGCGGAGAAGAACAGTGCCACACATCTTTATTAACTATGCCCGTGACAGTTGTCCGAGGCGGGGGGGGGGGTGACGTGAACCTTGGTAATAGAGAACAGCTCCTTCTGTATGTTCCGTTCCGCGCCGGCTTCAATAAGCTAAGGCAGTTTTTTTCCCCCTCTCCCCCCGTTAGTTCTTGGGTGGGGGTCAGATTTCGCCGTCCATTTTAATAAGTGATTTTACATTCACAAGTTACCGTGCACATTTTGAAAGGCACAGCCGCAGCCAACATTTTTCGGGCATTTCAATTTCTGAGGGCTATCCGTGATGAGAAACAGGCGCGACTGTCAGCGAGAGTTGGGGGAGGGGGGGGCTGTCTAGCTGTCGAGGATTTTCTAGAAGTTGGCGCAGAGCCCAACGCAGCATGCATTTAATGTTACCCTCTAGGAACTAGAGAGCTAACATTCTCATGGAGGGGAACAAATGGTCAAGTTTAAGGGGATTTGTGAAAGTCGTGCATGCAAAGATATCCCTGGGGCGTGCGCGAGTTGATGGGACAGAACAACATCTGACCATTCCGGAATCTAGCAAACAGGCCAACGTACATAACGGCGTAGATAATTTTTTCAGCTCGGTTTCGTCTGGAAGAAATTACTCCCAAACTGCCTCGAATCCCACGCCATGCTCGCAGCCTTAAAAGGCATTTGACAACACGCCTATAATTCCATTACCACCCTTATGGGTTTGTGTTATGCAAATAATCTCGGATAAATAAGCCAGTGGTCAACCGTTGTGTGCATTGTATGGCATTGGTGACTCACGCTCGAGTATTACTATGTGTGTGTGTGTGTCTGACATTAAGCAAAAGCAATACTGTACAGAAAATATCAATCTGATGAGACGCTGCGTGTTGAAACCAGTCCAGTGTGTTTGTGTCGACCTATTTCTGCCGCCAAGAATGATGCACTCCCCGAAGGCTGTGTAGCTATTGGGATGTGCAAAAAGCACAGGTGTGTGAAGGAGGTAGTGTATCGTCTGCAATGTTTTTTGTTGTTACGTCACTATTTTCTTTTAAAGTCCATTTAGGTACAATTAGGCACCCGGTCCTCACCGTTAACGAATGCACCACGGTTGCTGACGACGCCTGCCCTTGGTTGTTGTTGTGTCGTTAATTCACCCATGAGATGAAAAATACAACTAAACCCATGGAGATGCACGAAACATCATCACTGCAAGGACAATGACCCTGGGGTGGGGGGGGAGGTCACATCGCTTACCTTCGCAGGGCTGCAGAATCAGAGGCAACAGCGGCCGAAGCAGCGCTGGAAAGTAGAGGCGAAGAGGGATCTGCACCTGGGCCATCAAGCGCAGACGGGGACGAGAATATATACGACGTGCCTCATCGCCGCGCTAGCGCCTCGCTCGATCGGGGCGATTAACTTCACAGAAGGCGAGCGGCGGGGTGACCCCGCACGAGACCGAACCATTAGCTCGCCACAATCACGCCATTGTGCGGCTTTATTACGTCGTCGGTGGCACCGCTCACAAACAGCTCTCCAGGCGAAGAATGCACATTTCAGTACGGAATAGCGACTACGCTTTTTTGCGAGCGGTGTTAGCGTCAGGAAATGAGCCCGTGGGAATGGGCCAGCCCGGGCCGGCTGGCCGGCCTGCGGACGCGCAATCGCCGTGGCCAGCGAGGGCGCCCACCTGCTGCACGTCGTCCTGCTGCCTGGCGCGCAGGAAAGATGCGGTGAAGCGGCGCGTAATGGCCGACACAGGCCAAGCGCCGGCGGCATCCGCAAGCAGTGCTCTGGAATGATCATTGTTACAACAAGCACGGCAAAAACACACGGTCAACTGGCTGGCTGCTAAGCACTCCCCAAAGAAGAGACACAACTCGATAACAACTCCGAGTGGTTTTTGTGTTTCCCCATCATCTGTGCGATTTAAAGGTAATGGGCACATCTCAAGATTTTACTTGGTGTAAGGGTGGCGCAATGGTAACACTCGTGCCTCACAGCCAGAAGTGCCTGGGTTCGATTCCTGACTCAGGAACCTTTCTTGTGTGATGTTTGCACATTCTACCCCGGTTCTGTATGGGAGTCCTCCAGCATCTTCGGTTTTCTCCCATTGCTAACAACAACATACAATGTCACTGGTATTGGCAGAAAAACCTCCCGATGCTGAAAAATAACCTGCCGCTTACTTCATTGTTGGGAATCAAACCCAGGAGCTACTTGCTGCGAGGCACCAGTATTACCGCTGAGGCACCCTGCCGGCCAAGGTTTTTGCACCGCGTATTTGTTCACCCAGTGAAACACGTAAAACTATGCCTGCCTATCCTGCAAGAACATGCTGTCCTCCGTCACACCTTAATTTCCTTATAAAGGCACAAATCTTAATGCGTCTCCATACATAACACCTACATTCCATTGAGCATGGATTGTTGTTAGAGCAGAGCTGTAGGAGCTCGGTAGGAGTGTTCAAACATGAAAGATATAAATGAACGAATAAAGAAAATAACACAAATACAGTGTTGCGTGCAAAATCATCATGGCATCAAAGCCAGACGCCATCCATACCTGCCCTTCCCACAACACCCATCACGCCCACGATCGGGACGCTATTCCCTATCGATCGTCTTTGTCATCGCGAGCGCTTTTTTACGTAACTCTGACGAACGCGCCGCACCACCAAGTGAGAAGTTGCCACGCACCAGCGCTCTTGTATAAAACGAGCCCCCGGACTTGCAAACATGCGTCGAGTGGGGGAAATAATCCGCGCCATCTCCACCGCCGTCGTCACAGGGAGTGACGCGAACAAACAAAAACTGAATGGTAATTCTCTGAATATTTGGTAGAACTGGGAGCCTAAGTAATTTTGCAAGATACGCCCACATAAAAAAAATCACTCACTAAACAATGCAAGCAGCTGCTCGGGTGCTAAGAGCATAGGTTTATTATTACAATGCTTATCTAAAGGTTTAGAAGGACTTGTCAGGATAGACTCTTACTGGATAATAGACAAATAAATGAATGGTGTCACCAAAATAAATGTTATAAAGGCTGCGCTCACACACGTCCTTAAAACATCGCTCGATTTTTGTTGCAACGCGTAGAAAATCACACTCATGCTTAAAGCACTTTACACACGACTTGAAAAAAGCCGTCTCGGTACAGCCTGCCAGATGAATATGCCCGAGATCCCTTTGGCGCCGCTGAAATTGATTCCAAGTACTATTTGAGCTGGAATGTGCCAACTACCTGTGAACCGTGCGGGCACGGTGGTGGTGGTCATGTCACATGGACCGTGTGGGCCATTGAAAAGGTCCCAGCTCAGATGAATTTTGCAAAACAGCAGACGTTGAGAATTTCAACAGATTGATTGGAGAGGCTGCGCTGGTGGTGGTGCACAAGCTCGAGCCCTACTCTAACACATCCGTGTATAACACACGGGCCTGAAAATAAAAATGTATATAGATAATAGGTGATGTTTGGGCAATGGTACCCTTCTTCAAAGTACGTAGAGAGTCCAGAGAAATGGAATGGATGCTATGGGGCCTAATGAGAATAACATAAAAAAAATGAAGACCAGTTGTTAAATTAGCATATGAATAGTTACCAAATAGTAGCCATTGGGTAACAGTCAAGCTCTTTAATGATAACAATAAAGTATTTAGAAATAGACTAATTTATGTGACAGATAAAATTCAACAATGTTTCTGGCACATGGCATTGTGGGAAGATTTGTTCGTGTGCGCACAAGGCACAATCCACCTGGCAATGCACCCCTGGGCCCAGACACTGGGAAAGGAAAGCACGTGTCTCCAATGTGCGCGGCTTCAGAAAAGTGTCTTCACGACGCACATTAATGAGCACGTGCTCCCAATTGCTCCAAACACAACGGCTCTGGCGAGCGGACGGTGCACAGATAGGTTTTTACGGGCGCACGCGAAACCGAGTAACTTTGGAGGACTTGGAAAAAGTAAATTCCACGGAAGGCACACATTTACTTTTGTTCTGCAGCACGTGCGCGGGCTGCTTCTTGTGCCAAAAACTGGTGAAAGGGTAAACAGGCTGTGTGCGCTCTCTTTCTGATAGCTCTACACGGATACTGCTGACAGTCACTGGAAGGCTGCTCGTTTAAACAAGCCAAGCCAAACATGCGCACGGAGGGGAAAAACAATTTACAACGGAAATTAAATAAATAACAGCACACCACCATGCTTCCAAAACCACTGCCTCTCCCTCGCAGCGGCAATCATAACATCGGCGCACCAACCAGAAAACGGTTCAAGTAAATCCGATTTGACATGGCGGAATATATATTTTTTTAGACTACATGTGAAAAACGATTGCCAGTCGACGACGGTTGTGAAGGTGTGTTTCAAAGTGATTATTTTGCTAAATTATTCCTGCAAGCTGCAACCGCACACCAAAAAAAATCACGTGGGGGCTATATTTAAACATACGAAAATGACCCAGATAAACTGGAATCAGATGTAGTTCAACGCAAAGTACTCACGCGTAGTTTAATCCTAATGCGAGAAATAACGCAACTTTGCATGGAGACCCTGCGCAGGCCAAAGTGTCCACGGCTCGAGAAACTTGGTAAACCTGCTTAAAATGGTTCTTAAATGTGCAACAATGCATGGCATGTTCCGCCAAATTGTGGCAACGCAAACTGGACACCAGGGACCACAATCATTTACCAAACATTCAGGAAAGTTAAAGCGTAATCACAATTTGCAAATGATTGCATCTTATTGGAAAAAATTCTCAAATCCGAGCAGAAATATGATGCAGTTTACCAAAAAGAAAAAAATCAACGGCGTGTGCTCCAAATCTTTGTGTAATGCACGAATGCCCAGGGAAGTCACGTCGATTATCGAGACAGTGCTAGTGTTGCCTGGAGATGTAATTTAATCCGACTCCTGCCTTAACAAAAAAAAGTTCCTTTAGAACTTCCAGGGCTGCGCGGTAAACGGGACATCTGGCAGAATTCTACTCCAACCTGGGCTGCTTCTGGATCAATGCGGGGAAAAAGTTTAAGATGGGAGATTGCCATCTGATCTACAGACAGGTATATCATTTGAAATCCTGATGAGACAAGATGTCAAATAATAAGCAAAGAGAAACCATGGCCTCCTCCATTCACACAGGACCAACCAAAGTGAAATTATACCGATGCATATCATAGCCTTTCGAGTAAATGTGTTCATATCTCACGTAAAAATCACGCAGAGTTATTGCGGAAAATAAAAGTAGCTAAATTAAAAATCAGACCGTACGCTTCTTCACAAAAAAATTAGTTTTACATATCGCATCAGCCACACTGCCTTTTGTGAGTGAAGATGTTGAGCAGCAATCATTGGGATTATTGGCTGATAAGGGTTACACTGTGTGCTTTTATTTAGCTATGAGAGAAAACCAGATATCCCACGGGAATCAAATGCAGAACAGGGGGAGATCATACAAACTCCTCACACTTTTACACTCACACTGTAAAACATGGGGAGGTCATGCAAACACCTAACAATGATTCACTCACTGACACACTCACACAAACTCACATTCACGCTCATTCAGGAGAACATACGAATTGCACACAGAAAGGCGCCCGAGGAAGAAATAGAACCCCGGCCCTTCTTGCTGCAAAGGTCAGGCGTCACCACCACTGCAATGCACCCTGCCAATCAGTTTACCCCCCCCCCCCCCCACGTGTGTCCCAGATTCCAGTTCACACCACCGCCAAACTCACCGGAGTATGCCGAGGACTGCGCCAAACAGGACGGGGTGGTCAACGCACGCTGCAGGCTGTAGGGAAGAAGGTCAACAGTTACGCAGTGCACATATTCATTCATTATATTCCAACCACAAAAAAACTGGGGGTGCAACACTAATGGGGGGGAATTTAAATAGACCGGTGAGGAAACATTTCCTGCTGTGTACAACACAGCCAACAGAGGCACGCCACTGCCAATGAGACTGGACAAAACTGGATACCATGAAGCTATGGGAGGGGGGGGGGGTAGCGGTTCGGGTAACCTGTGGAAGGTTTTCAGTAAAATATAACCTCTTTAAAAGCCTCGTGTTGCAATCAAGAACATTGACGACTCTGCCAAATACACTTAAGTTTCCAAATTAACGCTTTAAGGCTTTCGAGAAAAGGAAAATGTACTCCATGTGAGGACAGCAATGAGGGAAATACATTTCATGCGCTATTAAAATTGCACAATTCTCTGCGACCCTCATGTGTTTACACGCACAGAGTAGAATAACTCTTTCTGTAGGGAAACTTACCTTCCAATTTTCCACCCTTTTTAGCTGAAGTTAACATTCACTATTCCGTCGTTAAAAATACAAAAACCAAAACTAAGTAAGTGCTGCCACCTGCTGGAGAAATAAGTATGTTACCCGTGGCAGTACCGGCAATACAGCCACAAACAACTCCCAAAACTGACATATTTATAACAAAACATGAGCGGTTTCGCTTATCAGCGCCAATGCAACAAGAGATATTGCAGCAACGTTCTATACCTGCACCAACTATCGACGCACTGTTTTTGGAAAGAAAAATACGATGCCAGAGGTGAAGTCAATATGATTCCCTGCTCACATTGAGCATTGAGGCAATTGTCACCTCCTGTTCACAGCCCCAAGCCAACGTGGAAAGTTTACATTCCTATGTCAGGGCTAGTACATCCACAGGACAACCTCAGCTGACTTCCATGGAAAGTGGTACTCATTATTATGATGGGCCTAGTCAAACCCCAACAAGGATTTGAACTCAGAAAGTTCTGATTGGGAGCCGTTCCCTCCACCACCAAGCCACCGGTCCGGTCGCAAGGTGGCTCAAGGGATCCAATAATAATTCTGGACTGGAAAGATATTGGAAGCGGCAACTTCTTTAATATAATAATAGGTTTTTTACCCTTTTATCTGGCAACAAAACTGACACCTTTTTTTACAAGGGATCATGTTCGCATTAACCACAATACCTGCGGTCAAAATGCAAACAAAAAACAGCACTCTGATAATGTATGCATTGTCCTTGAAATTGATTGGTCCACACCAGAGACAGCTTTTGTTAGAGCCCAGTCTCACATGGTGTTCGACTAGATGACGCCAAAAGGCACACAACTCAAAGACAACGCACCATCAGAGTATTGAGAGCTCGGTGAGACATTAAGAATACAGAATTGCATTATTATTCTGCTTGCTAATCTTGGAAAGCCTCACCGAGTCTCAAGACTCTTTCACAAGGTCCTGCCAAGTTTTCACAAGAGGCGATGCTGCTGCTGCTGCCGTGTGTAATCCCAAGCGAGTTATTTCAAAGGTAAATTTTCAGCATTGGGATGTTGTGGTCAATACCAGTTAGGCTGTGTTTTTTTTGCTATGGCAGGAATGAGAGAATCCAGAGGAAAACCCATGCAAGAGGGGGAGAGAACATACAAAGACATCATAGAAAGGCAGTAATTGAACCCAGCAACTTCTTTCCGTGAGCCACAACGTCTTAATATTGCTTCACACAACCATACAAGTAATTACATTAAACAAAAACATCAATGGCCCATATGAAGCAATGTAGTGGTGAAGCTGTTACTATGTGTTACCAGGTGAAGCTGTTACCAGCTGTCACTAGGTGAAGCTGTTACCAGGTGAAGCTGTTACCAGGTGAAGCTGTTACCAGGTGTTACCAGCTGTCACTAGGTGAAGCTGTTACCAGGTGTTACTATGTGTTACCAGGTGAAGCTGTTACCAGGTGTTACCAGCTGTCACTAGGTGAAGCTGTTACCAGGTGTTACTATGTGTTACCAGGTGAAGCTGTTTCCAGCTATCACCAGGTGAAGCTGTTACCAGGTGTTACTATGTGTTATCAGGTGAAGCTGTTACCAGCTATCACCAGGTGAAGCTGTTACCAGCTGTCACTAGGTGAAGCTGTTACCAGGTGTTACTATGTGTTACCAGGTGAAGCTGTTACCAGCTGTCACCAGGTGAAGCTGTTACCAGGTGTTACTATGTGTTACCAGGTGAAGCTGTTACCAGCTGTCACCAGGTGAAGCTGTTACCAGGTGTTACTATGTGTTACCAGGTGAAGCTGTTACCAGCTGTCACCAGGTGAAGCTGTTACCAGGTGTTACTATGTGTTACCAGGTGAAGCTTTTACCAGATGGGACTCCTCTGTAAGGCTCTGTAGCCGGCCCGGCGCTGAACCTGGGGGCAGAGCAGCCACCCTCTCCACCAACGTCAGCACTGCGGCTTCCAGAGATGGCAGGTGGCGCAACCACAGGCTCTCCTTGGCGGCACGCGACAGCTGAAGCCGCCCGCTACGCACCACAGCCACGCACAGCCACACCCAATTCATACCGGTGGCCACAATCCATGCCATAGCACGCTTTGTGCACAGTGGGACAGATAATCCCCTACTTAAGCCCCCCTCCCCCTTTCAAACGTTACAATGTTGTGTATCTGGCACCATTTTCATACGATGCCATTCTTGGCCAAGGTTGGGAGACGTTTATGCATACACGTCACACGAAGGGCCGTTGTTGAAAACGTTAGCCTGTTGCATATATTTCTTTCTGTTATCAGGCAGTGTTCATGACAAACGTGGCGGGTTTTTATTGTGGTCGTGCAGCACTGCCATGCAATTGCTGGATAATTGAGGGCTGTCCTTGAAAGAACTTGACAGTCACAAGAGTCCATAAGAGGTTTTTTTTGGGGTTAGATCGCGTAAAAAAATGTGCCGTTAAACCCGCCACCACCCGACACAGCCAACTAGTAAGGGTTGTCACGTAAACAGAACGTGGCCAATTCGTCAATGGTACAGCACTAACCGGTGTGTTGGAGAGCCAAGCCACAACATTTACTATCCGAGTTCGACGTATCGCCAGTAATTAAAACTAGCTTCATCAGGCGACAGCCAGATGTTTGGAGAAGTCTACCTGTTTCGTTCCTTATATAGAGGCGTAGATGTGGTGACCACATTTCTACGCTCTTGCACAAAATGGAGGGGGGGGGGGGATTAATGAGTTAACGTACATTAAGCATGCGCCTTATGCGACCGAATTGATCTTGCCCTGCCTGTCTATTGTGTGTATTAAATTAGTGTACCAACGGTAATCCCTATTGAAGTATGGTGGCCTGTTTTGGCATGCATTTAAACAATGCATTATTTGATTATTCGCTTCCACGCAGCACTAAGTCGGTAGCTATCCGAACGGTTAAAATTATTTGTATTTCTTTCAATTTCGATAAATTCTCTAATTAGTCTTGAGTCCTTTGTCCAGAAATTAGGGCTTTGTTGTGAGTCGGCCGATTAAGTGGGTGAAGTGAGTGAATGATTAAGTTTGCGTGGCCATTTGTGAGGAGCCGATTCAATTGCAAGTATATAAACGATGAATAGTCAAGTGTTGTTCAATAAAGCCAGCAAGGGTTATACATTTTTACACCATCACATTCGACATTTTTCCACATATAAGAGCCGGCAACGATCACAGGTCTTCTTTGCACCATAGCCAAGGGTTTCTCATTAATATCTTTCGCACCACACTCATCGTGGGATGCTGCCATCGTGCAATGTTCAACAAGCAGAGGTCAACGGTTCAATGTTTTCACAAGGCAGTCGAAACAATGGGGCACATTTATTAAATCCCTCCACCTCAGTCCGCGCATCACTTGAAACAGGTGCGCCAGTTAGTCGATCAGCAGGTTACCTGTGGTGGGGTAAAGTGTGGGTACCCCAAGCTCTTATAATATGTCTGGCCAGTGTGGCGGGGCTGTTTAAAGCTCCTTCTAGGGGACGCATTTCCACCAACGTGAGCAAGTAATTGCGGGGCTGCTCCATTGACTTTTATGCTCATCGCCTCAGGTCATGGTGAACGTGTTGCAATTTTCAAAATATTCCATTAACAAACACTACAGCCCAATTCGCCAATAAGTGGTGGTGACATCACCACAGTGCTTGTGCCGGGCTAGGTGCACTTTGAGGCCATCACGTGAAGTGCGGAAGGCTCGAACTGAGGTGAATGGCGTATGCACCACCAGTGATGCCAACTTGCTTCGTTCAGCCACCTGGTGCTTTGCTCGTTATTGTGAGCGTTGCTCCTCTGCAAACACACACGAGACTAGTCAAGCATGTCAGCTTACCTGGCCAGGGCATCCCCTGCAGCTTGCAGGAAGCCGGTCGCCAGGGCTTCTTCCGTTCCCTCACCGTGGCAACAAAGCAATGCCTCCACCAATGGCAACATGGCAGGGAGGTCGAGCGCTGGCCAGCAGGCAAGAGAGAGGCTGTGCAAGGTGGCATCCCTGCAAGCCCTGCCACCCACAAACATAACTATAGCCAGCACACCACGCCGTTTGAGGGAGAAAGTCACAATTGTGCTCTAAGTTAAATGTATCACTGCTGCGCAGATGGAACACGTAGGGTTTTGCAGCCAATATAATGATTCGTAAGAGATTTTTGGGTTAAGCCATGCAGTGATCTGGCCAAATCTGTGTTGCAAGACCCTCCCGCCACCACCCGAAGGCAATAAGATTCATGAAATCAGTTATGACATTATCACGGGTTTTATTCCGACTTCATTGATTTTATCCTGATGATGCTTGACGCAGTTTCAAGTAAAACATTCTGAAAAAATTGCTCAACTCACCGTTGAGCTCACCAATAATAACCGGTGCATTAAACGCTTGCACACGTTACGAGTTCATCTGTTTGGCTGTCGGGTGGTGGAGGGTCTAATGACACAAATTTAGCCTGTGGCCTAACCCAAAATTCCATCACCTCCAATTAGCACGGTTGGCTACGTACATTGCAAAAGTTAAACATACATACATACAATTATGAATTACTGCAAGGACTGTGTGGTGTGTCACATGTCAAGTAAGCTTACCCTGGCCTCCACTGACTGCCACTCAACTCCTTAACTAACGAATTCACCATCTGTTTTTGAAAGTCAGAACAGATTGGTTCATTTAGTATACAAGTGGTAAGAGGCATTCAATTCACATCAAACAATATGCACCAATAATCGTTACGGTTCAAGTCATGCTGTGTAATTAACGTATAAATTAAATTACTGTAATCAATAATTTGGAAGAATTTACCCATGTGAAAATCTGGACTGTGATAGTCAAGGAGAAATTGTATGTAGGCCGTCGAGTCTAGGGTTGAATATGGTTGCAAGAGCCTGCTGTGGATTAACCAATAAAAATATAACTTATTTACCCTGGAAAGCAATAATGAGTCCAAAGACTCTTTTTTACTGGTAGGAACCCACTGGTTCCACCAGCCCACAGGGGATTATTGTGTCCGTCTGTCATGCAGGGAGGGGCTGGGTGGGGAGGAGAGGGTGGGGAGGGGCTGGGTGGGGAGGGTGGGGCTGGGTGGGAGGGGTGGGGCTGGGTGGGGAGGGGCTGGTCACCCCGTGGTGCCCTTATAAAACTCAACGTTTAACCTACTCACGCCGGCTTGTGCCCGCCCTCACAGTCGGGCATATTTACGGAATACACCACGCCGCCGTTGACCCTGGCCATTGACAGAGCAACCCAACGTTCCTACCAGCTCCCTCCGCAGGAATGTGTTCAACAGGATTGTGGTCAAGACCATTTATAGCGTATGGTTTCATCTTTTTTGTTTGTGTTTAGCTATGGGAGGAAAGCAGAGAATAGGGAAGAAACCCACTCAGAACCGAGTAAGCAATCGAACCGAGGTGCTTCTTTCTGCGAGGCAACGGTGTTAACTATGGCAGCGATACGTGCAAGACTCAAGGGTTCTCACATGAAGGTTCTGCTGGTGGTTGTACACATCTGGTGAGCAGCCAAGGACGTCCACAAAGAACTGAATTTCTTCTGTTCCTCTGGAATAGTGTGGTCCCAACAGAGCAGACACCATGTTCTGGAAAGTGATGAGATTGGTTTTGACAACATTGGCTCCAAGACTTTATCACGTTCATTTCACCCTCCGTTGCTTCGATTCAACGTGCAATTACAACTTTAATAAATGACGACTTTTGCCACTGAGCATGACTATTTTAAATGCCACACCATGTTAATCTCTGAAATAAATGCCACGGTCAAAGTTTATTTACCTGACCGCCAATTCGTCTAAAATAGTGCTTATAAGCTCTTTGAGGAACAAAACAGCCTGTTGCTTGCATTATTCAAACGTGCTGCATTGTGTCATTTGTCAAAGATCTATGAAGCCTCGTGAATTCTCCATACCATTGACGTATTAAATCACTTCTGTAGTGCATACGGAACGTGCCCTATAATTAATGCTTTGTACAGCTCAGAACGGTTATTTGAGTTATATGCTGCTAAAAGGATAAAAAAAATACTTATCATCAAACTAGATCTATCCACTCCTGAATGAAGACATCCTCACCCCATCCCTCAATCCATCTTGCTCCTGCGCTTGAGCTGACCTCATACATTCATTTCCGCAATGGTCACCGTCTGTTGTGTGTTTCCCACCTTCAACTGTCATTCCATCACCAGTCATTCACTGGGCATCATCCCGTCTAGAGGAATCTCTCCGCTTACTTTCCTTCAAAGTCAAAATGACTTTTCTAACTTGGATTCCGTCTCTGATGCAACTGTTCCTCTTTCTGCCTCTCAGTAGCATGCATCTCTCCATGCTTCCTATTCACCTTATTTGCTAATGTTTCTGATCCAAAGGCCAAAGCAGACAATATGCAACGATTGAAAACTCTCTTCTTTAAGCACAATGAAATGTTTCTTTTCATAATACGATGAAGCTTTACAAAAAACACCACACCTTGCTTGTATTCACCTATATTTTGTAATCGTGATGCATCTTCTAGTTATGTCCCTCCAAACAGATATCTTAGGTGGTCTAGCAAAACTTGTTGTACACGGTTTTGCTTTAATGATATACATTTAAAGCCCAATGGGTGTACAAGCACACGTAACAAAAACTTTAAATATTCGTCAATAACACTGTCTGGCGCTTTGAAAAAAGACCACTGCTGAAATGCCGCCTGTAATAGAAATGTGCGTTCATTTTAAGGCCACAGTGTTATTGACAAACGTATTGAATTTAAACGACCGACACATATGAAAGGGACACGCATTCTCACCTGAAGCCACTCGTTGGCCTTGCGCTCAAGGGCAGTGCCTGGCTGGGCTGTGTAAAAGTTTCCAAGGCAACGCCACAGCCCTCTGATGCTTTCTCCTGACAAACAGATGGTACGCATCTTTACTGCTGCATAAACCCCTCCTCGGAGGTCACCGTTGACTCCAAAAACATGCCATAGCGTAAAATGGACACTCTTCTCTTTTATCTGCCCATAACCTTCAAAGGGAGAAGAGTAGCTGGTGCTGCTGCGTATATTTCTCCCTTCAAGCAACTGTGTTAGCCATGACCCCAAAATGCATATATATTACATGGCCTCATGGAAGAAGGAGTGCGCGCCGCTCGTTGCAGAGGTTCGAATCCGGCAGGCTGCACTGATTAATACTGCGGTGTAATATTAACTGTAAATATATGTGGCCGTCTGCTTGACGGCAGATGGTAATAAATGGCGTGACGTCATTAGTAAGAGTCGGCCACTGTGATGCCGGCGTTGCGGTCCAAATTTGCCAAGTGTAAAAAATTACCCGCGAGTTTCTCAGTTGGAATCTGAAAAGCAATCGTCGGCTCCTACTGCGAAAGCACGAAAATTTCGCCCAAAGTGCACCGCAAAACGCTGAACACATGTTAAGATCAGAAAGGGCAAAACACCACAGGATACAAAAAGATTAAGGGTATGGTAGTAAACAACACCATACATACAGGCCATGTACTCTCGCAACAAATGAACGCTGCCACTTGGAAATGGGTTGAGCCCATTCAATTGTTCAGATGTGCATTTATACAGCACGATATACTTCTGCAAAACATTCCATCGTCTCTTTTAAAACTCTGTAACTTATTTGTATGAACACTCCATTTGGTTATATGCAAATGTGATTTACATTTTTTGCATCCCGACTGACCTTTTGGTGACAGTGAATACAATAGTGAACAGTTATAACTGGAACATTGTGTATAAGGAACACATTTATTTTAAGTCAATGGCATTATGCCTCTAACAATTTGACTTGAGATGTTAGCCGACACGTGTTTTTGTTGTCATGATTTATAGGATTAATCAGAATAAATGTACGCTGTGTGCTACGAGTACACCTTTGTGGGGAATTCAACGGTGACTGTTCTATAAATAGAGTTACTTTCCCTGTCATAAGAATGTAGAATTTCCACCCCTGGCTCAGGGCTGTAATCAGGACATGAGCACTGCCTCAATGATCATTTGAGCAGGAAATTACTTTTGTGAGTTTGGCTTAGACCATGAAGATTTTCACTCAAATGTTATCCCTCCGTAATTAATATGATTGAATCTGATAATTTACCGTGGCCAAAAACAACACAAATAAGGTGACAGAACGCTAGTTTTTTTAGAACACTGTAATTGCCGAGTGTGGGTGATTGTGTGTGAGCCAGAGTCCTCAAGGTGCACTTGGCCTGGCACAAGCGTCGTGGTGACGTCACCGCCACTTAGTGGCGAATGGCGGTTGTTGTTGTTGCCACAGTCCTCACCGTTGGACACAACAGCGGCGTTACAGCACAGGCGGCCCAGCAGCTGACCAATCAGAGGGAAGCGTCGAATAGCGCCTGTCACACCCTTCAAAAGATAATAAAATGAGCAAAATCAAAACATAACAAGGTTGAAAAATAATGCTGCAAGGCTCTCCAACGTGCGTTAGTCCTCGGAAGTATTTCATTAGCGAATATAACGTCACCTTCCGAGCCTAATGAGATGACATCACATGTTATGATGCCACCTCGCGATGTCCTACATAACGACTGGCAATGCAAATTTGTGTTTGTTGGGGGCAACCACTTGAACAATCAGGTTTTGTGAACCATTCATGCTTTTGGCCCTCAAGACCAGGCGGTGGGATAATACAACGGCAGTCCCTTGAGGTCACTTGTCTACTGTGCAGCAGCTGCCAAGTCTGGCAAAGCGTAGAGCGTAGCAAAAGGGTCGGCGATGATCCTTTGGTCACGATGTCATCTTAACCTTGATCTTTGACCTCAAGTTTAAAAGCGTGAAGAGTCCACCACGTGAGGTTAATTTAGCGGTAGATTGTGACACGCGTGGTGGAACACTGGTGGCGCTATCCTCCTCCTGCACTTCCGATTAGAACGGTTGGCTACGGACGTTGTGAAAGAAGTTCAACATAAACTAAACCTAGATTTATTTTACCAGGTAAGGCCCACTGAGCAATATAGCTCTTTTATAGAAGCGACCTGGCCATTACAAACGATAGCTCAACGAAGTGGCATATCACGTGGAAATGTATAGCAGCCAAAAACTCAAAATATACAGCAGGGGTCAGAATCGGGTTAGAACCCACGACCTCCTGTATACCAGGCAAGGTAGTTAACATCGTTCCACACACATACATATGTAGTATTGTACAGACAGACTCTTCAACGTCTTTTAGTAGCACACACTTTATTTGTGAATACAGTCCCTATGCACTGAGGGGTATACGGTCCCCTCACCCGTTACACTCCGAACGTACAAGCCTACAGGCTACTCATACCCCGCTCCTTCAGTGTCCTCTGACTGGACCTAGGGAGATGTCTCCCTGACCACTGGTTACTCTGAACCCTAGCCCTTATAAGGGCTGGAGGGCTTGGTCCAGGGTCCTATGCTTCTTCCGCCGTCTTGGGTCTTCGTGTCGTCGAACTCCCCGAGAGCTCTGAGCGCTCTGGCTTTATACTTGTTCGTGGCCGGGTTGTCCAATCCCCGGCCACCTTGTGGAACCCTGTGATTGGTCGTTCCCAATCTGCTTTTCGATCCCAATTCACCCTATCTGACCCTGACCGTTAGGTCGCGCGGGAAAACCTTGCTTACGGTCAGCTCTCACAACTTGTGAGACCCTGACCGTTAGTTTGAGCGGGAAAACCTTGTCAACGATTAGCTCTCCCAGTTTGTGAATATCGAGTGGGTAACTCTACTACACATACATACCCCGTGGCTGGTGATGTCGCCAAGTTTCGCGAGGAATTCCTGCAGCGCTGGCAGACGGGAGCATATGTCGGCAAGAAGTGCATCCGTTACATGTCCAGCTGTTTCCTGAGTACACAAATGCTCCCACTCTTTCGCCTTCTGCAGCCAGAATTCCAACTCGTCATTAACACCTCGCTCGGCCATGGCGTTTGGCGGTGCACCCGTTGTGAACTTTCAAAACTGGGAGAGAGAAAAAAAAAGAGAGAAAATGTATATTATTAATGCGCCAACAGAAAAACGCGGGTTCAAATGTCAATGCGTAATGATCTTGCCTCTCGCTCATACACACTCCCGCTTATATCCCCCTGCTCATTCCGAGTCCTCACGTGCTTCCACTTAAGCTCCCGTCAGGTTGGCGCCTGTTGCCCCATTAGTCCCTTATCATCACCCCCCATCTCCGGTCACAGCGTACCCACCTGTTCGACCTCGATTGCACCCGCTTATCCCCTTAATTACTGTCGGTTTGTAGGTGCAAACCTGATGTTGCAACGCGCACACCTGTTTGCCCTCAGTTGCATCCGCTTAACTGTGCGCACCGCGTATTTCTCTCCTCTACACTACCACTAGAGTATAAGGTACGCCTATATTACTGCACCCCATGTCCTATGAACTGATGTATGAAAGCTAGGAGGCCAAAATAAGGAGATATGTATGTGGCTGAGATTAAGCACCAGTTATAACTAGGGATAGAACTGACTCAGAACTGAACTCAGAATTCTGTTAATTGCGCTTCGGTTCAATAGTGTTGATGGAAGTATAGCTCATGATGTAACTGGCAGATCCCCGTATTTTTTTTACAAAAACACATGTTCTATTCCAGTATGAAAAAAAATAAGAATAGCTTTTACCCTTTCTGGCAATAAAACAGGTGTTCAGATGGTCCGTGCAAAGGGTTTCTATTTAGTGATTGAACATTTTAACACCGATCTTGATTTGAAACTTTCGTGACTGCAGGAATCCATATTCTTTGGTTCTTTCCGTAAAGTCATGTAGGTATAAAATAAAAATAAATCACGAAGTTTCGGGCGCAACACAAGCGTCCGTCATCAGTTACCAAAGAGTATCTTATTATATTAATAAAAAGTATGCGGCCCTTGCACCCCCACCTTCTCCGACCATTATATAAACGGAGTGGTAGCTCCTACAATCTCTCATTTACTTGATACAGCCGTCGTGGCTGTGACGGTACCACCTGAAGACGGAGCTTGTGTTGCCTCCGAAACGTCGTGATTTTAATTTTTTTATTTTACTTTTTAATGTTTTTACCTACGTGACTTTACCGAAAAACCCTAAGAATATCTTAACACCTGTTTAAATTTCGATTCAGAGCTTGTTTAATTGCCAGAAAGGGGTAAAAACTTTAAACTTTTCATATTTTAAGGCTGGCGAAAAAAGGTCCCATGTTGTAGCTGCTCACCCCTAGCTGATTGCCTTTGCTCTGTTCGCCTTTTGGCGTTCTCCGGTGTAACGCTGCTTGAGACTGGGCCCTGAAGAAGGCTGTCTCTGGCGTAGGCGACAATCAGTAAAAAAAAACAATGCATATATTAATTATTTATCAGAGCATGTTTATTGACATGTTCAACACAAGTACCGTGTGCGATTAATGCAGACAGGATTCCTTGCAAAATATTTATATTTGGTTTGACCATGTTTAACACCTGTTTTATTGCCAGAAAGTGTAAAACCTATTTTTTTTTCAAACTTTGACACTGGTGAGTGTAAGTCAATGGGTTTCTGTGAGTCTATGGGTCTCTATGTAAGTCAATGGGTTTCTGTGAGTCTATGGGTCTCTATGTAAGTCAATGGGTTTTTGTGAGTCTATGGGTCTCTATGTAAGTCAATGGGTTTCTGTGAGTCTATGGGTCTCTATGTAAGTCAATGGGTTTCTGTGAGTCTATGGGTCTCTATGTAAGTCAATGGGTTTCTGTGAGTTTATGGGTCTCTATGTAAGTCAATGGGTTTCTGTGAGTCTATGGGTCTCTATGTAAGTCAATGGGTTTCTGTGAGTCTATGGGTCTCTATGTAAGTCAATGGGTTTCTGTGAGTATATGGGTCTTTATGCAAGTCAATGGGTTTCTGTGAGTCTATGGGTCTCTATGTAAGTCAATGGGTTTCTGTGAGTCTATGGGTCTCTATGTAAGTCAATGGGTTTCTGTGAGTCTATGGGTCTCTATGTAAGTCAATGGGTTTCTGTGAGTCTATGGGTCTCTATGTAAGTCAATGGGTTTCTGTGAGTCTATGGGTCTCTATGTAAGTCAATGGGTTTCTGTGAGTCTATGGGTCTCTATGTAAGTCAATGGGTTTCTGTGAGTTTATGGGTCTCTATGTAAGTCAATGGGTTTCTGTGAGTCTATGGGTCTCTATGTAAGTCAATGGGTTTCTGTGAGTTTATGGGTCTCTATGTAAGTCAATGGGTTTCTGTGAGTCTATGGGTCTCTATGTAAGTCAATGGGTTTCTGTGAGTTTATGGGTCTCTATGTAAGTCAATGGGTTTCTGTGAGTCTATGGGTCTCTATGTAAGTCAATGGGTTTCTGTGAGTCTATGGGTCTCTATGTAAGTCAATGGGTTTCTGTGAGTCTACGGGTCTCTTATGTAAGTCAATGGGTTTCTGTGAGTCTATGGGTCTCTATGTAAGTCAATGGGTTTCTGTGAGTCTATGGGTCTCTATGTAAGTCAATGGGTTTGTGAGTCTATGGGTCTCTATGTAAGTCAATGGGTTTCTGTGAGTCTATGGGTCTCTATGTAAGTCAATGGGTTTCTGTGAGTCTATGGGTCCCTATTTAAGTCTATGGGTTTCTGTGAGTCTATGGGTCTCTATGTAAGTCAATGGGTTTCTGTGAGTCTATGGGTCTCTATGTAAGTCAATGGGTTTCTGTGAGTCTATGGGTCTCTATGTAAGTCAATGGGTTTCTGTGAGTCTACGGGTCTCTTATGTAAGTCAATGGGTTTCTGTGAGTCTATGGGTCTCTATGTAAGTCAATGGGTTTCTGTGAGTCTATGGGTCTCTATGTAAGTCAATGGGTTTGTGAGTCTATGGGTCTCTATGTAAGTCAATGGGTTTCTGTGAGTCTATGGGTCTCTATGTAAGTCAATGGGTTTCTGTGAGTCTATGGGTCCCTATTTAAGTCTATGGGTTTCTGTGAGTCTATGAGTCCTTCCTTATGAGTCTGGATGAGTGAGTCTATGTCTCTCTGTGTAAGCCTATGGGTCCATATTCTCACTTACTAAGATAATATTTAGCAATGTTTACATAAAAAATCACCCACAATGTGCGTGGATCTCGAAAGCGAAGCAGTGAGGAGTCTGTAGGGCTGGGCGACCGACGCTCATAACAGGTGTTATAGGCACTGGGCAGCAGAGGGCAGTACAGCTCTCTATTCTACCCTCCCACGAACCCCGAGACTGACGAAAGTGGTGAAGTATGGCAATAATATTCTTAGGTGTTTTCGGTAAAGTCACGTAGGTAAAACACCTAAGAATATGATTCCTTGCAGTCACGAAAGCTTCAAGTCTAGAATTATGGCAATAATAACCCGCACGGCACGCACGGAAACACTGACGCACGCACATTGCGCCGTGAATATGAAAGCGATTCGGCTTCTAATTCACACAAAACGCGTCCCATTCCTCTCAGCATAAGACGCGGTGATTGTTTTGGTAACTTAATAGTGTACGGTTGAACTTCTTTCGCACCGTACGTAGCCAACCGCGCAAAACGGGAGGTGCGGGGGGCGGACAACAAACCAAAGTTTTGTGGCATCAAGACGAGCGTTATCGAAGCGCCCGCTGGCATGTTCAGTCTGTGAGGGGGTTTTATTCCACTTTCTTTAAACACTTCATACAACCCAAGCCGCGTCAGCCACTGCGCGGCACTGTACTTACAGTCGAATTTTGCCGCCAAATTATTCTCTCTCCTCGCGCCGACACCCCGCGCCCGACGTCGCGTGACGTCATTCCTCCTCCGCCGCGTGACGTCATTCCTCCTCCGCCGCATGACGTCATTCTCCCACTTGTCTCGCGTGACGTTCTCACCGCCACGACGACGACTGAGAGCGAGCATCGCGCGTGACGTCACGGCGGCTTCCTTTCCTCACGCGGCAGGGTTTGTGACGTCGACTGCGCCACCCAGTTATGACGTCATCGGGAATCGGCTTAACGTGTTCACATTCGGGCTGAACGATTAATCGATTTCAAATGGAAATCGCAATTTGAAACAACGCGATTAGTAAATCGTAAAGGCAGCGATTTTTTTGCGATTTGAAAAGTCCTATTACTTTCCTATAGGAATTGTTTCATTATTTTATTTATTATAACTTTAATTATTTAACTTAACAATTATTCAACGTTTGATTGATCTATTTCAATTAATGATTTAATAAATGTTGGAAGCAATTCATATCTTTAAAGTTCTCATGCTAGCATTAGAATATATAGAGCAGTTCATATTTTGATGGTATCACGTGGTAAAGCTCCATCACGTGTTTAACACAAGCGTTCGTGTAGCGATCAAAACGTCGTGGGTTTTTGTTATTTTCTTTGAACCTATCTACGTGACTTTAACGATAGACCCAAAGAGTATGAATTCCTGCAGTCACGAAAGCTTTAAGTCAAGAATTATAGAGCTCACTTAAGTTAAGCCAAACGAAAAGAATCATTGCCTTTTGCTAAACCACAGCCTGCCGAGGCAGTCTGGGACAAAAATTAAAAAACCTCCACAACATTCGCCAATTGAGTGGGGGAGGGGGGTTATAGGCGACGTTTCGGGCAATGACCCTGCTAATTCTAGATTTGAAGCTTTCGTGACTGCAAGGATTCACACTCTTAGGTTTTTTCGGTAAAGTCACGTGGGTAAAAATAAGTAATAAATAATAAAATAATAGAAATACAATTATAAAGCACGACGTTTCGGAGGCAACACACGTCTCCGTCATCAGGTGGGACCGTCACAGCCACATTGACTGCGAAGTTTGTTGGCAGGGAGGCGGGAGTGGCGCTCTCACCGCTCGCCTCCCCCCCCTTGGCAGCAGCGCGACCTCTGGTGGCGGAATTCCGTCATCGCACCTCGATCGGCCCCGCGGGGACCACGAGGACGACGACGAGGACGAGGAGGTGGGCTGGGGACCCCTGACGAGGAGAGAGCCTCGCCATTCTGGCAAATCGCCCGATGAAGCTGGATGCAATGACCAGCGAAACGTCGTTCTCACATTTCAAATGATGCTGATTCGCTCTCCAACACACCGGTGGGCTAAAGAAGTGAATCCTTTGTAAACGTGACGCATTGTTTTAGTGTTTGGCCGTGTCGGGTGGTGGAGGAGGGTTACGACACATTTATAAATAACGCGATCTAAACCCAAAAACGTTGATTATGAATGTGCTCATCTCGCTTACAGGACCTCCCATCGAAGTCAACGGACCCCTTGCCCCCTCACCTGGCCGCACAGGTGAGAGAGAGAGACAGAGGGAGCCACGGACTCTCACGCGGAAAAACAAAATGTTGACACTCGACGCCTTCCTTGGGTAAAGAGGCGTGATGATAACAGAGACAAAGATCCCCCGTGTAGCCTTAACAGACTGTGGGGGCAAGTGCTGTTAGCGAGCAGCACCTATGAAGGCCGGAACGGTACACGAGGGGGTTGGGTGACCATCACCACGTCCGGCCGCCTTTGTCTCCACAGTGGCGATGTTCACACACTGCACCCGGGACTCATTTGAGGCTGAGTCGACCTAGGGGAGGCCCATGACCGGTTCAGATAATCGTCACTGGTGTTGGCCGTGAGTGGGAATCGAACCCGGGTGGACAGGTTCATAGCGCAGGACGCTAACCGCTACACCATCGCTCCGATAATAACAAAACACAGATACACAAACACACAAACACACACTCACACATACACACAAACACACACACACGCTCACACACGCACGCAAGCCAAGCCAAGCCAAGTCCGCTGACCTATGACAGCTCTTTTCCAGACGTGAACCTGGATATCACAACTGAGAGCTCAACAGAGTGGCTTACATCGTCGTGTGGAACTGTCCAGCAGCCAAACACTCGCAGCGCAATGTCTCTAAATGCAAAACAACGGAGAACCCGGTGAAGAAGTCACGTGACCGCGGGGAGAGAGACACGCAAACTCCAAATATAGGAAAAAGGCGTCGGTTGTGGGGATAGAACCCACGCCCTCCTGTATACCAGGCGGGGTAGTTAACATCTCCCAGCCACCGTGATGAGATGATAGCACAATAGTCTGAGTCCATAATTGGCAATAAGTAAGGGCAAAGCGGTTATAAGCGACTCACAGAATTGTGCGCAGTTGCGTGTCCAGCCCACGACTTCCCTGGAGGCGTCAGCAGCTGCAGCGAGCGCGATGCCGATCACACGACGCGGCTCCAATTCGACCCTCGATCGATGGCCGCGTCATCGCCGCACACGCGTCGAATGAAAATCAAGGGACAAGTCGTCACTTACTAACAAATCCTCCATCATTTCTCATTGCTGGAGGGGTTGCCCCCTCCCCCACTACCTAAAAATACCGACGAGCAGGCGTCGGTTGTCGGGATCGAACCCACGACCCTCTTGGGCACCGAGGGTGAGGTGGCTGACAATCTCCCCACCGCGGCGCCCCTCACGACATCTCTCTACCCGCAGCTGTCTGCAGGAGGTCTCTCACCAGCCACCTGCACCGCGTGCGTGTATGCGTGGGTCAAGTTTCGGGGCTATTTTGTTTACCCAGGCGGGAATTCAGGTGAGCAGTACGACGAGTCTCACTTTGCGAGAGTGGGCTGGGCACATTCGCCTGTCGGCAGGGGAGAGGAATTGCTTTGTGTAATCCGAATTGAGGAGTTTGCCGGCAAGTTTTCCAATTTGGCGAACTCTTGCCAGTGAAGGAAAGGAATGTTTAACTTGTGCAGGGAACACACCTGTCAACCCCTTATCACACCTGTCAACCCCTTACAGACCAATTCAGACCGTATTGATCACCCCGTGCCCCTTATCGATCTCAACGTTCATCCTACAAAGTCCCATCACAAGTGAGAAACACAAATAGACAACACATTTTTTTTGCCCGTATTGAATCGGTTGTACGCCCCATGGACATGAAAACTAAATTTCCCCGTACAAGAATACGGGTGAGCCGTATGGGCTGACAGGCATTCGTGAAGCAGACGACGCATGTTTACAAGTCGTGATGATTGCGCCGGCAGTAATAACCCGGGCGGCCGCTGGATTCGAACCGCTACCGCTGGGCCACGTCGCCACCAGCGGCGTGTGGGACTTCCACATCGACCTGACACGTGGTGGAGAAAGCATAGCCACGGACGAGTATAGAGAGGGAAGCTGCGCGCTTGCTATTCCGTTGAGGGCCAGAAAGAGGGTCTTCATCCAGCAGTGCATAGACCGTGATCACGATACAAACAAAACAACTTTCTCCGGTTGTGAATTGAAATCCTTACTCTTTGGTTCTTTCGGTAAAGTCACGTAGGTGAAAATAAAAAATAAAAATAAAGACTAAAAATAGAAATTTAGTTATTTCTATTTATTTTTATTTTTTCACCTACGTGACTTTACCGAAAAAACCAAAGAGTATGGATCCTTGCAGTCACGAAAACTTTAAATCTAGAATTGAAATCCTGGTTGGAGGGGGTGGCCCATTCACTCGGCCACTCATCCCCTCCAAAGTTGATGAAACATAATTTGTGTTACCACTTTGTGGGTAAGTCAACAGTCGTTGTCCGACAATATTTAACATTTGTAAGACGCGTTTCGAACCGTAGATCCCCCAATTCGCGCCGTGTATGGAAAACAAGATATAAAGAAAACCTGCAGGGTGACCATCCAGAACTAGGGGATTAACAGGCGAGTATAAAGAGGTGCGTTTTCAAGACAGACCTAAATATATCTCTATAATCAACGGAGAGCCTCTTCGCTCCGATAGGAATGTGCAATGTCCACCACCTCTGGCCCTGTAGGACTGCAAACAGCAGACAGAGCATCGGCAGTGAGTGCCCGAAAGCTCGTTCGGACCCGAAATCACTGACCTCACTTTGACTCGAACCGGACTTGGAATAACGATCGCATCGCCGGCAATCAGTCAATGCAGTAATTTTACAGGCAGGAGGAATTGACTGCAAGCCACCCGTGGTCTTGAACGTGAGGCTGACAGGGCCATGCCTGGGTGCTCGCAGCTGCGCTGACGTAAACCGATTTGTCATTGCTCAGTTATTTGTTTTCATGAGGCTACGAGAGGGGGGGGGGGGGTGCTCGATTGTAGACGAAGAAGGCTGTGGAGGCAGTTGAAAGGAGCCACGATTCCATTCCTGGTTTGCACTAAGTAGCTGTCTGTCAGTGATGCAGCCTCACTGATGAACGGACTAGATTCCTGCAGTCCGGAAGGGCGGTGGCAGTGGTTAACATCTTTGCCTCACGGCAAGAAGGGCCTGGGTTCCGATTCCCAGTCAACACGGGTTGCTCGTATTTTGTGAAGTCATTGTGCGTGCTATGAAGAAGAGTCGTGGCCCGAAACGAGCCCAATTACGTCTCTCATTCAATCAAGCCACTCACTCAGAAGCTCACTCATAGACTCACTCAGAGACTCACTCAGAGACTCACTCAGCCATTCACTCAGAGACTCACTCAGACTCACTCAAAGACTCACTCAGAGACTCACGCAGAGACTCACTCAGAAGCTCACTCATAGACTCACTCAGAGACTCACTCAGACATTCACTCAGAGACTCACTCAGACTCACTCAAAGACTCACTCAGAGACTCACGCAGAGACTCACTCAAAGACTCACTCAGAGACTCACGCAGAGACTCATTCAGAGACTCACTCAGACTCACTCAGAGAATCACTCAGAGACTC